CCAAACTTCAGTCAGGAGAACAACTGAGATTATTCATCCACAATAGGAGGTTAGTTATTAATATACTGCAACAACATGGGAATAGAACAGCTGCGAGAGAATTCAACATTAACGAATCAATGTTACGTAAGTGGAGGAAGCGCAGTTTTTGGCTTTCCCCATATTTCATACTTCATGTCTTTGCTATGACTGTCGCCCGGCATAATTTGCAGATGATAATGGTTTTAGCTGCTGCGATGCTTTCGACCAAAACAGGTGCAGCTTGATGACATCATCAACATGCGCTATCGCGATAGAGCATAGTCAAAATCTCTATCGTTGGCCAAATTTATATCGTTTCTATCCTATATCATTTATATCGCCCACCCCTAGCCGATAGGATCAGCTGTTCGTCAACGCGAACTATCACATGTCCACAATTACCTGCCCAAAACCGGAAGTGAAGTCATTTTCTCGGGAAATGTAGGGGTTTTTTTCACCTTCAGGCCCTTACAAGCCTATCCTGGTGTTTTTAAAAGTCCTGTTTGACTTTATGCTTTTCTGTATCGTTACTGGGATGCTTAGAACTCAAATTACTCTGCTGGAAATAGTTTATTTTGATGCACATGCTGGGTTTTTTTGCAAATTTGCATTATAACATTTATTCATTTTTTGTTTTCCTGCAGTATATACAAATTGGTGTATCTCAAAAATAAAACTATGATGACACTCAAAATAAATTTCCTGTTGTGGGAAACTATTAACTTAACTATAACTTTTATGTATTTACACTTTTGAGGGATAAACCTCTTAAATTTCACAAATTTCAATTTTGTGTAGTTTATTGCACTTTTTTGCAATTTATGCAGTTACTATGGGCTTAATGCATAAATATTATTAATATTTGGGATATAACGGTTGTATTGATGTATAGCAACTTGAAATGCTCCCAAAAATGGCACTACAGCATGTAAAACATAAAGATAAGCTCTGGTGGACTTGGATCTATGGTAGGTCTTAAAAGGATATATAAAAGCATATTTTTATATAAACATATATAAATAAAAACACTTTTTTTACATTAGTAATTCCTTTTGTGCATACTTTTATATTGTTGTTGATAATGGAACTGAAAGACTGCTTCCAAACTACAGACTGGGAGGTGCTATCCAGCCCACATGGGGAGGATATCGACACACTAACCACCTGTATAACAGACTATATCAACTTCTGTATGGATAACACTGTACGGACCAGGAAAGTACGGTGTTACTCCAACAACAAGCCATGGCTGACTCCAGATCTGAGGACCCTGCTGGAGCAGAAAAGGAGGGCTTTCCGATATGGAAACAGAGAGGAAATGAGGAGAGTCCAGAAGGAGCTAAGGAGAGAGATAAGGAGAAGAAAGGACAGCTACAGGAGGAAGCTGGAGGAGCAGCTCCAGCAGAGCAACACCAGAGGTGTATGGAGATGACTGAACACCATCACTGGACGGAGCACTATGAGCAGATGGGGTCCAGAGTCTGGAGGCCAGGTTTGGGCTAACAGATTGAACCAGTTTTTTAACAGGTTTGATTCAGTAGCCCTTCCCTCCCCCATCGACCAGGGCTCTTCAAGCCTCCTTCACACCTCTCTGGGACCCCCCATAACACCGGTGACATCAAATGCACCTCACCTGCCCCCCCTTTACCTTTTCCTTCAACAACTCTGCCTCCTCCCCCCACGCCAGTCATCAAGAGCCACCCACCCACACCCTACACTGCAGCCTCTCCATCACGACTGACCAGGTGCAAAGTCAGCCGAGGAATATGAAAACCAGGAAGGCCACGGGTCGGGATGGAATCCGCTCTAGACTTTTGAGGGACTGTGCAGATCAACTCTGTGAGGTTATCACATACATCTTTAACCTTAGTCTCAGTCTGGAGAGGGTCCCCATTCTATGGAAGACCTCCTGCTTGGTGCCAGTCCCTAAAAGAACGCATCCGTTGCCCTGACTTCACACATGATGACATCTGTGCTGAGTATGGCCTGGAAGTCCCAAGGTCAAAAAGGGAAATGCCCCCTGGGGTGATCGAGAATGACAGAGTGTGTGTGTGTGTATCCTGAGAGACAGTGTCCTTTCACCTGGTTAAGCACAAATCAACAGTCCTCCAACTGACGCAGGTGACCTTAAAGAATAGGAGTACATAGTCAAAACTCATCAAGGAGAATATCAAGGAGAATTGTTGTTCCAGCCAGCCTTTGGTAGCCTTTGGTAGCTGCATGAAGGAGACGGTTGTTTGGGTTCGAATGAACAATTGCATTCCAATTTCGCAGTTGACCTAATGTCTGTTACTGGTCATCAGGTCTCTCAATTCCCATTCCAGAGCCGTGAGCTTCTCCAAGATCTTATCCATATTCCGTTCAATAAACACAGCCTGAGTACTAACGGCTTGCTCATCATCAGTCATGTCGGCCAGCCTTGTGGGGTTTTGAACAGCTTTCTTTGTTCTTCGATAAGCCAGGTCCCAACCAGCTCTGATCAGCCTGAACTCTGTTATCATTGTCATCTCGTTCAATGCCCTCCATCAAGAGTGTGTTGCCAGGCACATGATGCAACCGACCATCGCGTATCCAGCAGCAAATGTCTCTGCAGGACAATCAGGCTCTCCCGAGCCCAGGCTTCTTGTCGAGGATAGGGTACCAATTTTGTTAAGGGAAGAGTTCATCAAATCCATAATTCTTTAGGTTTCAGAGAACAAGACTGAGAGACTATCTGAAGGTTAGAGTTAGACGAGACCAGACAAGGACATAAAAGCCAAGCAGGAAAGATAAGGGAGGAAGAGGGAAAAAGATGCAGCCGCCTCCGCTGAGAGCCCATTCATAATAAACAACTTAATTTAGAAACTGAAGCTGTTTCATTTTGTGTTAACTTGAGTTATTTTTGACCAATATTTAAATTTGTTTGATGATCTGGTCTCTTGCACTATGGTAGCAGAGATTGGCTTCAGCAGGATGAGCAGAAGAGAATGGATGGATGAATCTCAAACATTTAAGTGTGAAAGGAAAGGAAATCTTTTACACACAACTATGTAGAGACAGATTTTTTTTTTAATCAATCTGAAGTTTAAGCATTCTTTAAACCCATTGACATAATTGTCAGTAAATTCTGATAATAGAAAATACATACCTTGTGATGGACAACCATAGAGTAAGCCAGGGAAAAGTCCTCTTCTTCCTTGCTTAACGGGAATGTTATGTATTTCCTGGTTATTTTGAATTTCCTGTAAATTCAGTTTTGAGGAAATAATATTATTTTTAAAAGCCATATATTTAAATCATGTTAGATTCTGTTGAAACCTGCTATTTAAAGTACAAACCTGCAGTCTTGGGTTGCATTAATATAATACTCATCAGGAATCTGAATACTCTTCTGAAATTTACCAATGCTGATGGTAAATAATTTGGCTTGCTGCAATGCCTCCTTCTCTCCCTGCAGGATTGCTGAGCAGTTGCAAACTTTCTCTGGGCTCTCATCATCATTGGTATACTCTAGCCATTGATACCTGAGGATGTAGGCAGCACTTCTGCCTATTTTCAGTTGACTAAGTAGGGAAAGCATCCATAGCAATCCCAGTACAGCAATGAACTGCAAAGATCGTAGCTTCCATGCACATTTTAAATATCGCATTATGTACAGTAAGAGGAGAATATGAATTCAATAATATTAAAGAGCTGCTAAAAATGTCTGACACCTCTCACACCATAAAATAAAAATAATGATTAATGCTTGCTGATATGCAGATAACATCTTTTCATGAAGGTATGCAAATCGGTCCATCCATTACTGCACCTGGAACCAAGAGATGATATAAGGGTAGTAGGAAAAAAACATACACAGACCCTTTAAAGTTAAAGTTGCTTGTGTTGTTGATTAGGATCAAAGATGGTTAAGAGTTTCTCTAATATCACATATTAAAACCAACTTTCTTCAATGTCAGATTTTTCTTTTTTGTTTTTGCCAAATTTCACCTGAAAGTGTATTTTTTTTAACTTTAGAAGAAAATAATCACATGCTGGACTGAAATGCCAAGCAACTCTGTATGTTTGGGAATCGCGATAGTTTTGACATCGTAAAAGTGAATGGATTAATTTCAATTCAAGATACAAGATTCAAGATTCTTTATTTTTCACATGCATAGTTATACGAGTACAACCCGCAGTGAAATGGGTATTCATTTTTCTTCTTCCATGTTTTTTTTTCTTTTAGTATAAGCCTGTGAAACCTTTTAAACCAAAGAGTTTCCCCTGCAGCAAAATATAAAAATCTGAAGTTTAGAACAATAACCAACATAAAACTTTGAAATTCAAAAGTTTTAGGCAACAATAACATAACAGGAATTTGCATTACAGGAAAATAAAACAAAAGCCTCTGTTTATAAATAAAACATTCTGTGAGGAAAAAGAATTGTTATACTCCAAACAGGTGTAAATTATGACATGATTGCTCAGCATAACCACTGTGTATTTCACAGTATATATAATCATAAACGTCTTGTTCTTGATCTTGACGATACTCATTTTGAATTTTCCCTCACTTAAGCAAAAGAAAAAGTCAATTCTTCCTACCTGGGATCTTCATCGTCACAGAAAAACCTTATTTTGTTATGATAGTTTGCTCTGGTATTCTTTGTAAGTTTTCTGGTGCATCAAACCTGTACGGAACCTTTTAGTCCTTCAGTTAAACCGGTGAGGCAAATGACATCTGAAAACATCCTCTCAGCATTTTTCAGATTAATACATTTTTAACAAACAACTTTATTTCACACTTTCGGATCTGTAGCCATTAAAAGAGTGTGTTTAAATAAACAGATACCAAAGAGGTCTTATAGCAAACAGAACTATACACTATAGAACTTTAACATAGAATTGGCAAGTGCAGTGTTTTTTTTCTGCAGACTTGACGCCAAGAGTGACACGCTCTTATTTTGAAAGCTTGGTCAGCCATTTGTTTTTCCTCTTGATTCATAACATTGTGTGAAGATCTATTTATCAGTCTCATCAAAACCTACATTTATGTAAAATAAATGCAAAGCAACACTAGACTGGTTGGGCTGGTCGGATGTTTCCAACCAATCCAGAAAACCAGCCAACATGATGCCTTTGCTTTTATTTATCTTACAGCACTTAATTTATTTATTTGTTGTTTGTTTTTTGAAAAGAAACCAAATTAAATTGAAAGTGAATTTATAAGTACCCTGTTTTTGTCATATAGCACTCGCTTACTTCACTGCCATGAGACATTCTCACAAGAAAATCATGGTTTTAGTAACGCAGTAACGCAGCGTGCTTACGGGAAAGTAACGGTAATCTAATTACCGTTTTTGCAATAGTAATCCCTTACTTTACTCGTTACTTGAAAAAAGTAATCGGATTACAGTAATGCGTTACTGCCAATCTCTGCTCATGACCCTTCCAGATGGGAATGGTCATTGACCTCCAGTCAGGGATCTTGTCCTGTGTGAGAAAACTCCTCCCTACTATAGCTGTTAATGGAGATGGTAATAGGGATGTGATCACCTGTGATAAACCTCAAACACTGAATTCAGATCTGTTTGACACCTTAATGCCGTCGTGAAACAAACAAAGAAGAAAAAACAACAAAAAACAAAACCAGGAATTATGTTCATACTCGCACAAAGTTTGTCACAACGTTTAACTGGTCATTGAGCCTACAACCTTAGGTGGGTGACAGGTGGGTGATCCATCCTCGTCAGACCCCAAGCAGTCACATCACACAACTGACAAAGTTTGATGATTTATTTACAATGAGTTGATTTGTAGGGTTATTTGACACAAAAGAAGGAGCGGATTATAACTTCGGGGTGGACCTAACAGCAAAACAACAAACAAAAGGGGAGCCTATCTCGAGGATTTAACAAACTTACCTACTTAAAAGAATTAAACCAAATGACAGCAACTTGCCTCTCTAAATAAGAAAAACATGAGAAAATGATAATCAAACAAAAAGGCAGTCACCCCTAAATAATCCTATATAAGGCAAACAGCACTGAACAAGTAAGAAAAGATCTGCTGGTTGGGATGAGCCGAGGATGAATGACTGGCCCTCCATGGCATTGTCATTATATAAGTCTTCTCCAGTTGGTTAGACAATTCGTATAGTCCATCCCCTGGATCCACCAATCACGGAGAGGCACCCGCACACTTAGATTTGCATATGAGACAACATTATGACAGCAGTCATAACAAAGGAAAAAAGGAATGTTCTATATAAAGTCAAATCTAGTTGCACCAAATTACTGATAACACAGAGGCATTTGGCTGTACTAAAACTGTCTTTACTGGTAAAAGGGCAATATTAATGAAGAAAAATATAAGTAAAGGAACAGACAATAAATGATGTCCAATAATATCTCTGCACTGCAATATAAAACTATTACCTGTGGACTTCTGGTGGCACAGTAACACAGTATGGCCGCACAAAAAGTGATCTCACCGACCATGTATTTCCTCGGACTCAAGTTGTATTAGGGTTAAACTGCTATACTAAATAATGAGTGGGGATAAATCTAAGAAAGGAGGATATGGACTACAAAATATCCCTGATTGTGATATGGAGAAAGAAGCCACGGTTAATGACGCAAGCCTTGCATCGTGACAAGATGGCAACCGATGCACAGGCCTGGACTGGCTTCAGGATGCTGTGAGTAGTGTTTTGATGGCTGAAAATGGCTACACTGCGAGCCGAACTGAAAGGTGACTTCAAAGAATTCTGTACAGAATTTCGTGAGGATATTAAGAAGCAACTGGACCAACTCTCTAAAGAAATTAACCAAAGACTACGTGAGGCTGTGGATCAGGTAGAGGAGGTGGCTGGTTGGTTAAAGCAAGTTGAAGACAACATGGCCGACTCAGAACGCTGGGAGATTGGAGTTAAGGGCACACTTATGCAGCTGTTGGAAAATCAACGGGCACTTCAGGAAAAGGTGACAGATATGGAGGGCCGCGCTAAGCGCAAAAACATCCGGATGTACGGTGTACTGGAAAACTCGGAGGGCTGGTCTGTGACTGCTTTCGTTGAAAATCTGATCAAGGACCAGCTGGGCGAAGACTTTGGCCCAGACGGTGCACTCGGCATCGAGCGTGCCCACCGCACACTAGGACCAAAACCACCTCCAAACGCCCCACCATGCTCAATCATAGTTCGCTTCCTCCAGTTCACTGTTAAAGAAGAGATTCTCTGTGTCGCATGAATCAAGGGGGTACACATCCAAAACAAACCGTTGTATTTTGACCATGACTACTCCCTGGAAATACAGAAAAGGAGACGGGACTATATCCCCGTTAAGAAGGCTCTGAAAGACATACGCTTTCAGACACCACTTAACAAGGGTGTTTTATGCATCAGGCAGTGTCCTATACAACACCACAACCCAAGCTGCTGAGGATCTAAGAAAGCGGGGAATAGCCGTGGGTAAGATTAAAGCATGGCTTGAGAAAGCCTCCTGTCTCTAAAAAGAACTAAGCAGCACAGCTTAGATTTGAACATTTGAACAGCTGAAAAAGTCATGGCAGACAAAGTGGGTTTGGCCACAAACCCACAAATTCAATTCAAGTTCACGTTTGGTCTAATAGCCACAGGACCTGGGTATCTAACTGAAGAAAAAATTCTCCACCGCGATGGGAGAGACTGATCAAAATCATACATGGGAGACCTTTTTTTCACCTTCACTGTACATGTCTAAAAACCTTAGTAGGTTACCACAGAAGTTTCCAGTCTGTCATTACCTCATTAATGGCAGAATTACACAGTCTTCCCATTTGCCAGAATCCATTTTAGGATTTCATTGATTACTTTGCAATTATTTCATGGCATGGCTCCGCTCTAAAAACTGTTGGGGTTTTAAATGTTTTATATCATCTTCCCAAAATTTTACTCTTTCCTTATTTGTCGTGTATTTGCATTTGTTTTGCTTAAAGACACACACAGGTCTGTATTGGTTATAGGATCTGTCCATTGCTTAGATTTTGGAATTTAAATGTATTTCATATTGAAATATTTAATCAGATTTTTCAAAATTAATTACCCAATAGCATACTGCTAGATTTTAAATTTCAGATTACAAAAGTGTTAGGTCTACACAGGCCCTAGTTTGGTAAGGGAATGGCCTTGAGCTGCCCTCTTGTGGTCTGTTTCATTCAGCAAAGGATGGTGACAAAACTCAGACCTTAAAGACAATTGGTTTAAAATATAAAAGAACTAACCTAACCCTTTTTATTTTTAGTTCAGTTAAATAAAATGTTTTTCCACACCTATTTCGGGTTTTAGTTTAGTTATATATATATATATATTAACTCTAATAACCTTGGAGAGAAGGTAGCGGACTTTTTATCCAGACTATCAGAAGATGCCTGAGGAGTGGAGAAAATGCTTGCTGGTACAGATTTTTCAAGAACTCAGATCATCTGCAGTGCTGTAATAACTACAGAGGAATAAAGTTCCTAAGCCATACCATCAAGCTGTGGGAAAGAGTTCCTGAAGCTAGGCTAAGACGAGAGGTGATGATCAGTGAGCAACAGTATGGCTTCATGCAGAGAAAGAGCTCTACAGATGTGATATTTGCTTTTAGAGTGTTGATGGAGAAGTGCAGAGAAGGTTAGAAGAAACTGGAACTTTGTCATTGTCGATCGACAGAAAGCATATGGTAGGGTGCCAAGTGAAGAATTGTGATACTGCAGGAGGAAGTCAGGAGTGACAGAAACGTACATGAGGGTGGAGCAGGACATATGGCAACACTTTCAACACTTTGAGCTGATCTTTCCCAATGAAACATTACAAGAAATATGCCTGTAAATAATGAAATATGTCACTTGTATAATATTCACAAATCAGGTGGGAGTTTGTTTTTTTTTTTGTTTTGGATAAGTGTTAATACCTGGGGTCAACCATCCAAAGCAACAGACAGTACACGAGCTTAAGAAGGCAGACTGAAGTGCTTAGAGATAAGTGGCGGGGGCAATGGCTGTATAAAATATAGTATATTTCTAAAGTCACTGGTCAGGAGGGACTTGTGACAGAAAAATAGCAGCAGTGGATATATTCAAGTTTATTTTGATACTAATACTAACAGGAGTATAAAAAATGGATATGGAAAACCATAGTACAGCTTTTATGCATAAACATGTGGTTCCTCGTTACCTGGCATCCCAAACCAGCAAACTCAAATTCATGTCGTTTTGACAAGTGGCATTAGTATAAAAGAAAAGACTGCCAAGTCAACCCTCCTGATTAAAAACTAATCGAGCTGTCCGTACATCTCCTCAACTCCTTTGCCAGAGTATCTGTAATCGCTATATTTCCTACAGCACCTGAAGGCAGCACATGGCTACTCGTCCGTCTTTGGTCACGCGGTCAGTGACATCAGACGAAGCGTTGGTGACGCAGATATGTGATGGTGCAACACATGTAATATAACCGGCTACCTGTGAGGATCTGGACTTCGTTTTCTCAGTCATACGGAGAGTGGATCTGTCTGAAGCGGAGACTTCTGTCTGTCAGATCTGGTGTAAGCAGCACTTTTGGAGAAAACCGCTTTAGGAATTATTCGTTTCCAGTAAGGCTAACAGTTATTAGCGCTGATAGCATAGTAAGTGAACTTTCACGGTTCAACCTTAACCTACTCGAGGAGGACAGCATAATAGCTAAAGACTAATGTGAACTTTGAACTCCACAGGGGCAAAATTTCGGCAAAAAGAGTACGTTAGATAACCGTGTAGTCCTGTCTGTTTAGCTAGCCGGACTTCCGTGTGTCGTTCGAGGTCATTCTGTAGCGCTCATTCAAGAGACACAGCTTCTATCCCAGACTCTAGTCATGAAGAGCCTGCCGTACTTCTGTCGGGGAGAGGTCGTTCGAGGATTTGGAAGGGGAAGCAAAGAACTCGGTATTCCCACAGGTGAGCTGACTATTTTACCATTTGTTTGCAGGGCTTTTAATTAAGCTTACCTAAACACCGATTTACGCAAATAACGTAGTTGGAAACAACCGTAGACAAAGTTAACATTAGTGGTCTGATTTTATATAATACGTGTACGTTATAGCACGTGTGATCAGTTACTCTGTTAGTCCAACTGTTCTTTGTACTGCCCCTTTTCACACGACTGAACTGCTCTGCACCTTTTACGTAAATATCGCTCCGTTTTTTACCGCAATGTCACGATGATTCACAGCTTTTAATTACTTCATTTATCCTCACGTGTACTTTTCGAAACAAGCTCAGTTTTTGTTTTACACCACCTATGAGTTTAGGGTTTAAGATCTTTACACTTAACCAGTATCAGTCTAATAGCTTTGAAAACAACTAAAGAGGACTGCATTTTAAACATCTGTTGACCAGGCAGCGTTCAGCATTTTTTTGCTGTAAGAAATGGCCAAATTAATGAACTGTGGGCTTTACTCTAAGAGATCAGAATGGAGCTCTGGGCAGCATGCAGTCACGGACAAAACCAAAACACATGAGTTTATATGGCCTTGAGCATTTTGCAAGATTTTTGGCTTAAAATCAAACTTGCATAGGATATTGGATGCGGTTTGTTTGTAATAAATGTCTTTCATGTATTTTTTTTGTCCTCCACAGAAGTTTCTCAAGCAGTTTGTCTAGTTTCACAGTACCAGTTTTGAATACACTGAAGTTAACAGATTAATCAAATGCTTTCTGCAAACATTTCTGGCCTTCATTATTATAAAAAGCACTTGAACGCTTCAGTTAAATAAAAAGTCTTCTTCTAGTTTGAAGTAATTTTGAGAAAATTGCTAACTTCTTCCACAGCATCCTTTTTATTCCCATCATCTGATGTTTCTCTCTGACCTACAGCAAACTTCCCAGACTCCGTGGTGGACAATCTTCCAGCAGATATCAGCACAGGGATCTACTACGGCTGGGCTTGTGTGGGTAATGGTGATGTCTACAAAATGGTGATGAGCATCGGCTGGAACCCTTACTACAAAAATACCAAGAAATCCATGGTAAGCACTTAAATGCCATAAAAGATGTCTTTGATAGTAAAGGGCTAAGCTAATTATGATCTAGTTATAAGTGTCCATCAATTGTACAGCTTTGGCAGGAAAATTAGATTTCACACAAACATATTTAAGCTGAATATGTGAACTTCTTTAAAAAGTCGTGGGTGAATATAGATTTTTTTTTTTTTTTTTACCCCGTCTGTGTATATGTAGCGAGAGAGAGTTTTCCAGCCATCACCATGTGTAATAATCTGGAAATCTCCTTTCCACAAAACACATAATGTTGCGCTCAACACCAAATCTTTGTAAATATGCAATGTGCCTGGTTTTAAAGAACACTGGTCTATTCCATCTAGCGACATACTTATTTTTGCTAATGACCATGTCAACAATTTGAGACACATGTTAGTCAGGGTGGATTTTCACAAATCTCCTCAGCAATTCATTTATTTATTTAATTTTTGTCTAGTTTACCAGATGGGAATTTCCCCTGTCTCAATCGTGCCCATTGTATATCAAAAAAGGATACTTTTTTGCATCCTCACAGTGGGAAGAAGTTTAAATTAAAAAACAGAATCTCCTGTAGAAAAGAAAACTGTATTCTACTTGTTAAAATGGCCATGTGGCTAGCATATTCAGGTAAAACTAAGCAGATTTAAAAATAAGGATTTCTGAAGATAACAGGAGAGCAAGAATTGGACATGAGAGCTCCAGTGTTTAGACATTTTAATGCAGCTGTCTGTCTTGTGCGTTCCCTTCCCTTTCAATGTGTAGAAATGTTACCTCCTCTCAAAAGTGCAGATTCAGACTGATTATTGTTACAGAGAGACAGATATAGCTTATGTGCACTACAGACTGAAAGCCCTAAAGGCTTGAGCTGTTAAAATGCTTTTTGTGTTTCGAGTCTAGAAAGTGCCATGCATTCTAGTTTCTTTGTGAACTCGCCTATTAGTTTAAACTGTGTTTTGTTGTTTTTGTTTGTTTGTTTTTCAGATGGCTTGTAGACATTCTTATTACTGTTTGTCCATTTTTTATTTTTTTTCACCAATATTTACTTTTTCTACCAAAGGTCCTTTTCACATTGACACTGTCCACTACTGTTTGTATGTGTTTTACATTGAGTTTTCAGTACTGTGCAAAAGTCTTTTGCCATCATTTGTCACTTGCTTTCAAGGACTCTGACTTTCTTATAATCTTCTAAATGTTCTGTTAAGTTTTCTGCAGGTCTTTCAAACGTTGCCTGCTTTTTCACTCATTGTCAGGCCCTCGCCACTTTCAGAGGAAGGTTTTTGTTTAA